ATATATTTATAATTTTATCCACGTCATTTATAATTATCAACGTAATTTTCATATCATTTATAATATTGTTTAAATAAAAAATAATGAAATAATTTTGTCAATCTTTTCCACACAGGTCAAATTCCATGTTCCTTTTTTTTTTCACACGTAAGCATTTTAACACTGTGGAATAGCCATGTCACACTTTGAAATTGCCATATCACACTCTGAAATTGCCATGTGAGATGTTTTCGTTAATTAACGTGACAGGTCAGCAAAATTTTAACAGAGGAACTAAAAAAGGGTCGGATTTTAAAATTTAGGAATCAAAAAGGGGATTTTTTTGGTATAAGGACCAAAAAGGAGTTTTTTCCTATAGTAGAGGGACCAAAAAGGGTATTTAACCTTGAAATTAAATGATTTGAATAAATTAAATCACTAAACTAGTTAAAGAAAAACTAAATTAACTTTGAGTAACACCAAGAATTAAAAGTCTAAGGCATCCGACTTCACCATCATCAACTAATATAGAATTTAGATCAATATACTTCCAAGGTATTTATTATTCATTTGATAGCGGGATTTCCTATTTTATTCGATATACTTTCTCAAGTTATACCAAACGTATCTTCACCTATTAACCCATTATATCTCTATGTGAATTTAAATAGATAAAGATGCATTATGTTCTATGAAATTCCCTAGTTTTACGTAGAAAATTAAGTCCACTTATCACTAATGCTACACAAATCACGTTGGTCCATCTCTGGCTCTCGTTCAATTCATGGTATATATTACTAAAAGCTATAGCATAAAATCTCCTCTCGGTCTCAATTATGCTCTTCAAATCAGTTTTAATGGTGGCTAATCATTAAAAAGCATTAAGAACAATAATATATACTCTACATGAAATAATAACCTTTGAAAGTATAAAAATCATGAAATTCTATATTAAATTGATTAGGCTACATCATAGCCTTAGATTGAAAAATTAGTTCATACTAAACATGATAAAATCTGAAATTAAATTGATAAACCACAATTCCATATCCAAACAAAGGAAAAAATAAGTTTAGAGGGGCAAAAACCCAATTTGTGGAACTCAGATCTGTAGCCTTCACTGTCGCGCTTGTCCCCTTTGTTTTCGATTGAAGTGTCCCCAGTGGCTGCATTTGCTTTTGCCATCACTCGTACAGAATCCGCACAAGCTCTGCCTCAAACTCGCCTTCCAAGCTCTCTACCGGCTGCCTCTAAAATCCCTCTCAGAAGTCTCCCTTTTTCCGCCTCCAAAAATCCCCTTTTTATATCAAACCCCCTGCGAAAACTGTGTGCCCTTTTTTTTTAAAGCCCATCTTATCTCCACAATGAGATAAAGCCCACAATGTTGTGTCACGTGTATGCAGGAAGAAAATTCAATTCTGGTCTTTGAATGGGGAAATCATGGAATCAGACTTGATGTTTTCAACTTTTGTCACTTCAGCCCATTTACTCTCAATTTCCTTAGTTTTACCCTCTACCTACAAAGAATGATAAAAGTAATGTAAAACCAAATAAAATCGTTCCAATAAAATATAAAAGACTACAATTAATGACTAAAAAGCCATGTATAATTGTATGAAATTTAGGCTCATCACAAGGCCTCAAAAAGGAAAAGATCAGACATCAGAAACCATTTCAAAGGAAGTTCATGATAACCAACAGGTCAAGCGGGTTGAGGTACTTGATAACAGACCTAAAGATGAAACCCGAGTGGGTCTAGTTGAAGATGTCAAAGAAGTACAAATTGATGACAAAGATCCGAACAGAAAGACACAAATCAAAACTCAGTTGAACCCAGAGGAAAGAGCAGAACTAATAGCTTTCCTTTGAGCTAATAAAGACATTTTTGCTTGGATCTCAGCAGATATGCCAGGGATTTCAACCTCAATATCTCAGCACAAGCTCAGCACCGATCCATTGAAGAAACCAGTGGCCCAAAAGCGACGCTTCTTTGGGGGGAAGAGGCTTAAGGTCATAAAGGAGGAGGTGAAGAAACTCCTGCAAACTTGTTTCATTAGAAGGGTTAATTATTGTGAGTGGGTAACCAATCCAGTGTTAGTCAAGAAAGCAAATGGTAAGTGGCAAATGTGCATCGATTACACAAATCTCAACTAGGCTTATCCCAAAGACTATTATCTGATGCCGAACATTGACAAACTAGTTGAGGCAGCTTCTAGAAACGAGACATTAAGTCTTTTAGATGCATATTCTGGTTATCACCAAGTCCCAATGACTCTTGAGGATGAAGAGAAGACCTCGTTCTATGCAGGTGATGAAATCTATTGTTACGTCATGATACCCTTTGGCTTGAAGAATACAGGTGCCACTTACCAAAATATGGTGACCATCGTATTCCGAGCTCAGATAGGCAGGAATCTGGAAGTTTACATCAATGACATCGTGGTGAAGAGCCTAAAAGCCGAAGATCATTTAGCTGATCTCGATGAGACATTCAACAACCTGAGAAAGAACAAAATGCGATTGAACCCAACGAAGTGCATCTTTGGTGTGGAATCTGAAAATTTTCTAGGTTTCATGGTATCTAGGAGAGGGATTGAGGTTAACCTAGAAAAGATCAAAGCAATAGCCGAGATGAAACCACCGAGGTCAGTAAAGGATGTACAGAGATTAACAGGGAGAGTGGCAGCTCTTCAGAGGTTCATATCGAAGTAAGCAAATAAATGTTTGCCATTCTTCAAGATCATGAGATCAACAGCTTAGAAAGATGAATCTGGCAAGCAGAAGAAGTTTGAATGGAACTCAGAATGCTAAGTTGCATTTGATGAGCTGAAGTTTTATCTTAACTCACCCCTTTTGCTGACAAAGGCTGTTGATGGAGAGATCCTTTATTTGTACCTCGACATCTCAAACGAAACAATCAGTTCTGTACTAGTACAGGATGAAGGGAAGCAGCAAAAACTAGTTTATTATACCAGTAGTGTATTACATGGAGCAGAGATAAGGTATTCCATTGCTGAGAAAGCAGCATTAGTAGTTGTCACCTCAGCCAGGAAGCTGAGACCATATATCCAGTCACACCTAATTATAGTTCTCAAAGACTAACCTCTTCAGCAGATTTTACAAAAGTCAGAATGCTCAGGAAGATTGATCAAATGGGCAGTCAAATTAGGGGAATTCAAGATAACGTTTCAACAGAGGTCCACAATCCGAACTCAAGCACTAGCAGATTTTATTATAGAATGCACCTCAAATCACTCAAATTATAACCTCGAGCCGGATAGTTGGATTCTATATATTGATGGAGCATCAAGTAACAAAGGCTCTGGAGCTGGCGTAATCCTACTTGGCCCAGATGGATACCAAAGTGAGCATGCTTTGAAATTCAATTTCGATACAACTAATAACATGGCTAAATACGAAGCTTTGCTACTTGGCTTGCAACCGGCATTACAACTAAAAGTCACGGTAATATAGATATACAGTGACTCACAACTTGTGCTTAATCAAGTTAACTCAGTCTACGAGGTGGTTGATCCTGTCATGATGAAGTATGTAGTCCTGGTGACTGAGCTGAGGTGCAAATTTCAGAAATTTTGTTTGAGCAAAATACCCCGTGCTGAAAATAAGCAGGCAGATTCACTTTTTAAGTTCGCTTCTGATAGTTTTCGAAGCTCCAAATCAGTTTTTGTTGAAATTCTAGATGAGCCTAGCTTTCAAAAGCCAAAGATGATGGAGATTAGCACAGATCCAAACACGCCGAGCTAGACAAACCCAATTGTCTCTTTCTCACAAGATGGATCAGTGCCTGGAGATAAGCAAGAAGAGATGAGGTTGAGGAAGAAAGCGTCTCGGTACACACTTGTTGATGGAGTCCTCTATAAGAGATCTTTCTCACTTCCTCTTCTACGATGCTTGAACCCTTATAAAGCTAAATACATACTTTGGGAAGTACATGAAGGCGTATGTGGAAGTCATGCTGGCACTAGAACCCTAGCTCATAAAGTCCTTAGACAAGGATATTACTGGCCGAATATGTATAAAGATGCTACTCACTTTGTACAGAGGTGCCCGAAGTGCCAATTCTTTGCACATTTAACTCACCAACCAGCAGAAGAACTCATCAACTTGGTAGCACCGTGGCCATTTGCTTAGTGGGACTTGATCTTTTAGGCCCATTTATGAAAGGGGTTGGAAGTGTAACCCATCTGGTCATTGGTGTTGATTATTTTACGAAATGTGTTAAAGTTTGGCCATTATCCAGCCTTACCTTCAAAAGGTTGAAAACTTTGTTTTCAGCTCAATCATCTGTAGATATAGGATTCCGAATCAGATTGTGGTTGATAATGGCACTCAATTTAATTGCTCTTCATTGAGAGATTTCTGCTTCAGTTATGGGATCAAATTACAATTTACCTCAGTATACCATCCAAGGTCCAATGGTATGGTGGAATCTATCAACAAAGCTATCCTAGAAGGAATAAAGCCGAGATTGAAGCAACACAAGGCCAAGTGGGCAGATGAGCTCAACAACGTCCTTTGGGCATATAGAACTACGAGCCGAACTGCCACAGGTACTACTTCTAACTTGAGTTACTTTCATACTACTTTATTTCTTCTTCTACAACTTTACCCTAGATCAAATATGCATAACATATAAAGCATATTCTAAAAACTATAACTTAATGAAAAAGGTGAACACCCTACCACCTGGCCTTTGGTACCGAAGCAATAATTTCTATTAAAATAGGAGTCCCAAGCTTCAGGGTCACCCATTTTAATGAAGGACGAAATGGACAACTGCTTCAAGAGAACCTTGACCTGCTTGATGAAGTCAGAGAGGAAGCACGACTTCGAACTTTGGTGTACAAGTAGAAATTAGCCAACTTCTACAACAAATGAGTTCACCCTCGAACATTCAAAGTTGGTGATCCAGTTTTGAGAAAATGCCGACCTTACTGGGGTTTGAAACTCGTTTTGGCAAACTAGCACCGAACTAGGAAAGCCCTTACACTGTAGCTGAAGTGCCACACTCAGGTGCTTATATCCTTTAAGACACTGAAGGGAGAAGGATTCCTAAGGTTTGGAATGTCAACAACTTGAAGAAATTTTACCCTTAATCCACTTCTTTCAATAAACTTTGTCTTATTTTACATGGTATTCATTAATTCCTCAGTCTGAGATCAATTTCATTCCTTAGAATGTATATCCGAGGTCAATTCGTTAATCATTTCATTCCTTGAACTTTAATTTTATTAATGAATTTCACTTCACATTCAAAGTGATTTCTTCCATTTTTGTTCTTACATAATGGCAACATAACATAAATCTTGAAACAAATCCTCAATATATTCAATCGTTAAATCAAATCTTACAAAAATGTTCAAAATAAAATCAACAAATTGTTCCAATTTTAACAGAAAATACAAATCAAAAAATGGAAACCCTAGCTACTCTGTTGGGGGAGGTGGCTGTTGCTCTACACAAAGAGGTGGCTGCTCCACTTCTGGAAGGGCTGGCTACTCTTCTTCTAAGGGAACTGGATGGATTTCCACTGGAGGAGGTGGCTGGCTCTTTTCGACCTCTGTGCCCACAGCCTCTGCTTTGCCTTCCTTAACTGTGATGAACTCGAAGTCAAAGTTGGGAGAAAAAACAGTGTGACCTTCTTCATCATGATCCCATCTTAGCTAAATCTGAGGTCAAAAGCCAGTCGACATACTTTCACCGTCTTCCTTCACTCTTTCCTCTTGTTTGCCAAAGGTGATTTTCATCACATCCACTTCAGGATATTGAGATTTCAGCTTTTTTTCTGCAATCGGTGAAGGCAAGGATCGTAGTAGGCAGCTGGTATAGGTTGACAATATTGTCAAATGTGCTAGAGTTGAGAAACTTAGCAATGTGCCCTTCCATCGCATTGTGGACCAGCAACTTCACGTTCTTTTTCAGCTCGACAGCAAACTCTTTCATTTCCTTTATTTCTTTCTCTTGCGCCTCAATTTTTGTCTTGCAAAATTTTCTCTTTCATTCTTCAAATGAAAGAGTTGTCTTCAGCGAATCCCTCTTGTTCTGAAGACTAATCACTGTTGGAACCTCCTCATCCAGCTGTTTTTGCATCTCCCCCTTCTCTTTCTGCAGTTTATCATACTGCTTCT